TGGAAATGCCCAGTCTATACATATTTCGGTAAGGATAGCAATGAATCTGAATGTTCGACTATTAAAAGAGGTAACGTAAAAATTGCGCTCTCGAGGAACAAACTGGCAGCTCTACAACACTAAGCGAATCTGCTCCGGAAGCTATGCTTCATGGAAATACTAAAAGCGCTGAAAGAAGGGCAACATTCTTGCAACGGGTGAATCGCTTACCACGAAAGGAACTGGTTTAAAAACAATAAAGCTGCCTAGTTTAAACCTCGCTAATAGTGTACTTCTGTCTTGACCTCCCCGGAATGATAGATGTGACTTGGCAGAACCGTGTATCCTATGCATAAAACTAAATGGCGGGAATTATTCAGCATCATCTGAATACAGCAAACAATCGCTGACAACTTGTTCTGTCGCGCTACAGGGATCACAAAATCATATTCATGGTGTAAAAAATTTTCATCTTTCAGCGGGCTGCAGACCGGTCCGGATTTGCGATGTGCTCATTGGAGTAGATGTCGCGGTTTTTACAAATAGCATTTGTCAGCGTTGCTGCCAGTGCGTAGTTCCCTGCAGCTAGAAACTTCCGAATGGGTGTGACTTGATTTCGAGTACCACCGCAGTACGGATTTACTGCAACGAGAAGGAAGCCTTTTGAAAGTGCAAATCTGCGCAACTAACCTGACCATAGAGTGAAACTTTTTGTTCATATATTTAGTGGTCCAACTTACTACTTCCTACAAGCAAACGTTGCTGAGTCAGCAAATAATAGTCAATAACAATACCTGGTTGAGTAGTCATTAGCGAATCAAACGAAGGAGAAAGAATTACCAGTTTCATAATGGCGAAACTCTGCTTAGACTCATTCTTCTTTACAATCATCGGATATGAAGATCCGTCGCCATATCGCCTCGGTCAAAAGGATTTTACTGTACGGAATGGAAGCTGCTACTCTTAACGGTAGCACAACCAATCTTTAAAGGCACTGAGCATTAGGGATGGGCGATCTAGTTGTTGCTTTGTTAACATCACCTTTAAAAATTAGAAAGATTCTTCATAATATGACACTGCATGCCAAATCTGCCAAGCCCATTTCTCCATTGTTGCAGATCATGAGTGATCCCTATTCATGAAGTGGCATAAAACAAAACGAAATATTTTTGCTTTGTCTGATGCCACTCCCTAGATAATCGACCATTATCTGCAACACTGGAGAATACGCATCGTAAATTAGGTATGCTCCGTCATCCCATAAAGGTTTCCTGATTCCTGAACATTAAGCAGCATCGAAACGTTTCTCGTACCGCCAGTCATGGAATCAGAAGGCATGTCGGCTTTGAGTCACCCGAGGCCCAATATCAGTAACAATTATTCTCAGCCTTTTCCTTCCACTGAATGAAAGCCTGGACAACCTTTTCGCCCGTGGAAATGACATCGCAAACGCCTGTTCGTGCTTTATTCATTCGTTCGTCTTGTATTTTTTGTTACTCTCAACGCATCATTCCATGTTTCGCTGCGCATTCTGCAAATCATGAATAGCTTTCAATCCACGTTTAGCATTGATAGTTTAGCACTGACGTCACCATAAATTTAAGAAAATATCTAGTAAACGATTTTTTTATAACTCTTAACTCAACC